CCTCTGTCCCGTCTCATTTTCTTTAATGGAAAATCTATTATCACCCTTGAGAATACTGCAGCTTCTCAATTTAAAAAACTTCCAATAACTCCAGGGCAGTTTGGTCATTCCCTTCTCTGTGCTTTTATAAGCCTTTCTTCATATCTCCATTAGAACACTTGTCACATTATGTTGTAGTCATGTGTTGAATCTGAGGGCAGCGATCCTGCCTCAATCATCCAGTAATTAATACAGCCCCTGGCAGAAAGTATATATTCTATGCTGTTTTTGCATGGATGAACGAATGAATGAACAAACCATCATTGTCCAAGTTGCTTTACTTTTCTGCAAAACTAGCTAAATAATATCATTGCTTTCAGTGTTATAATTTGCTCTATAATAAGTGTAACAGGAGGAAGAGAATGAAAGCACTAATTGCAACATTCTTAGAGGCTATAGATTAAGCAAACTTATCCAAAAAGGTGGGGAAAATATCAAAATCAGAATGCTAATCATAGCTTTACAATAACAATGGAAATATGTTTATAAAATCATTTGCATTTCTAATTCTCTTTTCCCTCAACATAAAATAACAGAAAAATACCACACAGATGTCATGTGTAGACTTTGCACCAGAAGTCTTTTAAAAGATCAAAACAATAATGGGGTGTAATGATAGAATGCTTGCCTAGCATACACAAGGCTCTGGTTTGTTCTCCAGGACAGGGGAAAAAGAAGAAAAAAAATCGAAACAATAGATTTTTACAGTTGAAAGGGATTTCTTGATTATCTATTTCAATCCTGTACTGTATGAGTCTCTATGATATCCCTGATAATTACTAATCTAGCTTTTTACTTGAACACTTTCAGGGATGAGGAACTCATTATTTAAGATGGTGTTTGATTCCTTAATTTGAAAATTTTATTTTATTTTATTTTTTTAAAATTTTGTTTTAGTTATAGATGAACATAATACCTTTATTTTTATGTGGTGCTAAGGATTGAACCCAGTGCGTCACACATGCTAGTCTAGTGCTCTACCACTGAGCTACAACCCCAGCCATAATTTGACAATTTTAATGTTCAAATCTGCTTCCATGTAATCTTCAGCCATTGACCCAGTTTTCTTCTTCTTCCCTTTCCTCTTTCTCATCTTCATCCTTGTCCTCCTCTTCCTCTTCCATGTCTTCCTCCTCTTTCTTCTTGACTGAACCTAGGATTGATCTACCACAGAGCCACATCTCCATCCCTTTCATTTATTTATTTATTTTATTTTGAGACGGGGTCTCCATAAGTTGCTGAGGCTCTTGTCTTAGCCTCTCAAGTAGTTGGGATTACAAATGTACACCACCTGCCCAGCTTTACTTCTTTCTTAAACCACAGAGAGTACTCCTTATGCTTAGGCAACCCTATCAATAATGAAATGCAGCTATATAATCGTTCCCAGTCTTTTTTTCAGCCCTTTCCAGTTTCATTCCAGTACTTCTCATATGCCATATTTTCAGCATTTTCACCAAACTAATTTATATCCTTAGAATATATTCCAGTTTGTCTTAAACACTTCTAAAATGGAGACTGGAGCTCACTCCAAGTGAGATTTAAGCAGAATAGAACTAACATATATCTTTCATTGTAGACTCCATACAGTTACTGCTGAAACTTGGACTTTTATTTGAGGTAGAGTCATACCTTGGCAATGCTTAGCAGAAAAAAAAAATTACATAAAGCTTGGGTGCAACCAGAGCTAAGAGAACTGATCCAACACTGAAAATGGCTCTTTCGTTGAGAGGAGAGTTGCCTAAAGGAGCCTAGCTATGTTATAGTACTTTTCTTAAGCGTTTTAAAAAATGTCCTTAATAGAGACATTTAAAGGGCTTTGATGGTGATGAGCAGGCTATAGCAGTATTTGAAATTAGACAAATAGTAGAATCATATTTCCATTTGGTTTTGGAGGAGACTCTCAATCATTAGTTTGAGGGACACGAGATCGGGACCCAACCCCTGGAGAAAGAAGTTGCAAAATGCTAGGCAATTAAAGTAAAAGAGAATAAGGTTCAAAGAAGGGCTACATTTTAAAGGAAAAACTGAGGTAGTATCAGAATCAAAGTGACTCTGGAGTAATAAAGACCTTTGTTCTTTCTTCGGGCATGGTGGCAAATGCCTGTATGGCTCAGAGTGGCTCAGGAGGCTGAGGCAGGATCACAAGTTCAAAGCCAGCCTCAGCAATTTAGTGAGGCCTAAGTAACTTAGTGAGACCCTGTCTCAGGATAAGATATAAAAAGGGATGGGGTCTTTAAAAAAAAAAGGGGGGGGGGGGCTGGGGATATGGTTCAGTGGTTAAACATCCCTTGGTTCAATCCCTGGTACTTGTTGATGTTGAACTCCGTCAACTTTGCTTTCCAAGCCTGAGTTTCCTAGTGTGAAAATGGGGATAATGCAACACACTTAAGGACTGCTGTAAAGATTTAATAGGATAATGTATGTAAAGGAGGGAACATAGTGCTTATCAAAAGTTATTACTACACCTTAACATGCATGAATAAAATGAATTTTAGAATAATTTACTTTTGAAGCTTTTAAAATTATGCATAAAAAGCCATTTCAAACATTTTTAACATTTCCTTTAAGAAAAGCACTGTATTTTGGGGGGAAAATAATCAAGGTAATTGGAGTGGTTGAAAAGGACTTGTAAATAAGCATAACATATATGATTAATTATCATAACAATTGTACTGATAATGTGGTTATACTTCAAATTTCATTCATAAGTAAGATAACTTTGTCATAAATCTTCAGAATGAGAATTTTTGTAAAGTATAAACTCAATATCATCAATTGAGCCAGAATTTTTCTAGGTGGTACAACTCAACATTTGTCAGAACAGTTTGCATAAGCCCTTTTCCCTAGCACTCTGTTGTTTTTGTTCTATTATCCAATTATCAAAAACTTAAGAGGACTGGGCACCACCCAATGGGGGTGTGTGGCTGTTTGGACTAAAGTTGAGATCCAGAGAATTGAGAGTGACATCATCTGCAACAATAAATAAGCTCTTCTTGATGAGCAGAAGAACCATATATGAAAGTCACACTTGAGGATCTGCAGCCCATTTCATCAGCTTCCTCAAGTTCACTAAACATCAATACAGCATCAGCTGCTATTTCACCTGAAGGAAGGGCTTCTCTGAAGTTGTCTGGTAAGTCCTCTTTTAATTGTCACTTTAAATTACACGACACTTTTGATAATCATGTTTTCTACAAATATGCTATTTGTTCATGATTAAATTTTAAAGAGGTTAAATTACATTAAATATTAAATATAACAATAGAATAAATTTATGCTAAGCATATAAGTCATTTATTTTTGTGATGAAAGCCTTTTGGGATAACTTTTTTTAAAACTTCTGAAATTATAGAAAATTAATGAATATTCTGCATTATATGCTTTAGTAGTCAATAAAAATTTTGAAATAAACAGGCTGGTAGTGAATGAATAGTTCTGATGTAAATAATATATTTTTGTTAAGTGGAAGGGCTGGGGCTATAGCTCAGTGGTAGTGCACCTGCCTAGCATACGTGAGGCACTGGGTTCGATCCTCAGCAGCACACAAAAATAAATAAAATAAAGGTATTGTATCCATCTACAACTAAAATTTTTTTTAAAAAAAGGAATATTTGTTAAGTGGAGTAAAATTTCACTTTTCTTTCAGACTACCCTTACCTAGATGGCTTATTTTATGACTTCGAGAGAGCTCAGGTTGAAAAAACTACCATTAATGGCTAAATGTTTATTTCCTTTTATATAAATGACAACTTTTTAAACTTTCCTTGACTTTAAATAGTGCACAAATTTTAAAGATATTTAACATCATTTTAAGGCTTTTATTCATGGTATTTCTATAAGAAGTCTATTTCCCTCTTAAGAACAAGGAAACAAAGCAGAGATTTGTAGGTCACTAGGTGAATGGAACAAAGCTAGGATTAGACACTTGATCCTCTCATCCTCCACCTGCAGTGAATATTTCCAACATAACCCAAAAAAGAGATGGTCTTTTGTTGCTCCATGCATAGATACGTTGATGGTTATATTTTTTCTTATGCTACCTTTAAAATAGGAGTACCTATGGGGTGGGGATGCAGCTCAGTGGAAGAGTGCTTACATAGCAAGGCCTTGGGTTCCATCCCCAACACTGAAAAAAAAAAAAAGAAGTATATAGCCATTGAACATGTCTGTTAAAAGACAGAACAGTGAACATTTAGAAAAAAGCACGTGTAAATATGCCTTTGCAAATATTGAAATGCAGATTAAGGTAAAAATCTTTTTCATTAATATGAAAATTTTTACGATTAAATGAGGAAAGAGCTAAAAGTTATACTCAAACATACTTGTTAGTGAAGTAAGTAGAAGAAATAAGGTGTAGATAAGCATTTTATTAAGAGCCAGAGCTCAAAATGCACATATAAGTAATTATGTGATTTTTAAATGCTTTAATATGTACTTTTTAATGCCAGAAGTGTGCATTCATTCAGTAAGACCCTCAAAATCAGACTTTACTATTTGGCATTTATGGTTGTTATGCCATTGCCTGAAATGAAGTTTAATCACGAAAATGACATTTGCTAAGTAAATATTGATAACAATTTTTACCTAATTTTAAGACTAGTCAATTTCAAGCCTGTTCAAGCATTTATGCATAGCCAACATAAAATGTGTGGGAATCCTCAAAACAAAACTCTTCCATTCATCATGTGGCTTAAAATTCATATATTCAAACCTGCACAGCAATCTCAAAAAAATACTTAAGAAAATTAATCTAATTTCTCAGAGTATGTGTGTGTATATCTGATGTTACTAAAGTATTCCCTATATAAAGAGGCTGATTCCAAAAGCTTCTCCTAAAAACCAACCCAATTAATTACTATACACTCTGTGATTGATTATATGGTTATAATTGGAAACTACTATCAATATTATTATATGGTTTGGAACACTAGAATATTTTTAAATAACTCGGTTTTGCTTTTCCTTTTAGTAAAGATGATGTCTGCAAAAGACATGGCAAAAGTGATGATCGTCATACTTGCAATTGTTTTTCTTACAAGAACGGATGGGAAAGCTATTAAGTAAGTACTACAACCTCTTTTGCATGGTGAAGGCATGGAATAAGTGGGAAGCTAATGGAGTCGTCCTCTCTGTTTCTGTTCTTCCAGGAAGAGAGCTGTGAGTGAAATACAGTTTATGCACAACCTGGGGAAATACTTGGCCTCCCTGGAGAGGATAGAATGGCTGCGAAAGAAATTACAGGATGTGCACAGATTTCCTAGCCTTGGAGCTCCACTACGCGCTGGAGAAGGTGGTTCCCAGAGATCCCCCCAAAAGGAGGAAAATATCCTTGTTGATCACCACCCAAAAAGTCTTGGGGAGGGAGACAAAGCTGATGTAGATGTATTAATTAAAGCTAAATCCCAGTGAATACAGATGTGATCAAGGCACTGCTGTGAACAGCTAGGGCAACAATATTACACACTGTTCACTTTTCTAAACTCCAAGAAGACTACCAAATGCCAATATTTCTACTGTTACCAAACTTTGCATATAATCCTTTGCTAGACCTGATGGCTGCAATATTAATTGATTATTTTAATCTAACTGTTATTCGTTAAAGAGCTCTTTTGATCATTCTTTCTCTATTATTCTTTTTAAAAGTATGTAGTGCATAACTTGTGAAATAAATTGCACATTTTCACATGTCTCCCTCATAACGCAAAATAAAAATTTAATCTTGAATCAAAAGTACTGAAATGTTTCTTTCTTGCTAAAAGTAAGTCTTTTGGGTTATAGTGAACACCCCAATGTTTATATTGACATGGGTAGGAAGAACAAAATGAAAAAAAAATTTTCAAAAAAATTCAATCATATTTGATATTTTGAACATAATCCATTTCTCATATCAAAGTTCTAGGTTCCCAAATTCTCACTGGATACTGTTGTCCTCTTCATTTCAGGAAAGACAATGAAATGCTCTCCTGAGAAAAAGAGCAAAAAATACTTTAAACCTTGAGTGCAAAAGCATTTGTTCCTCTCTAAATCCATGTCTGTATTCCAAACCCCAAATTTCAAGAGATACAATTGTAATATTTTTTTATTTTAACAAGTACCTATTTAATGTCCATTACTTGTGATGTACTTGTCAGTCCTGTAGTATGCATACAATAGTAGACAAAGTGTTCATGAAGCCTATAATTTAGCCATTAATTCATTATTAACTTTGGTCAATCCTGTGTATGGAAAATACAAAATACTGAAGGAGTGTACAGTAAAGAGCCACCCTTGGGCTGGGATTGTGGCTCAGCTGTAGAGCGATCGCCTAGCACGGGCGGGACCTGGGTTCGATCTTCAGCACCACATAAAAATAAAGGCATTGTGGTGTGTCCATCTACACCTAAAAAATAAATAAAATATAAAAAAAAAGAGCTACCCTTTTTAGATCAGTGCTGCCTGATAGAATTTTCTATTATGATATAGTCCACAGTCTGCGCTGTCCATCATGGTAGCTACATTTGCATTTACCTAAAATGTGGCTAGTGTGACCAATGATGGATCTAAATTTCTTTTTTTAAAAAAAAAAACTGGGCGTTTTCTTTTTCTTTTCTTTTTTTTAAGTTTCTTTTTTAAAATTTGTTTTAATTAGTTACATATGACAGTACAATGAACTTGACATATCCTACATTTGAATCAGATGGGGTATGATTTCTCATTTTTCTGAGTGTACAGTTTGCAGAATCACATTGGTCATGACCCACAGCAATAATAATGTCTATTTTATTCTGCTGCCCTTCCATTGCCCCCTTCCTCTCCCCTTCCCTCCCATCACTTCTCTCTACCCAATCTAATGTGACACACTTTTTTTTTCTTTTTCCTCACTTCGTCATACATGTATTCTGTATAACGATGAGGGTCTCCTTCCATCGTCCGTGCAATTCCCCTTCTCCCTCCTTTTCCCTCCCACCTCTCTTCCCTATTTAGTGATAATCTTCTTCTCATGCTCTTTTTCCCTACCCCATTTTGAGTCACCCCCCTTATAAGACATTCGGCATTTGTTTTTTAGGGATTGGCTAACTTCACTTAGCATAATCTGCTCTAATGCCATCCATTTCCCTGCAAATGCCATGATCTTGTTTTTTTTTTTAGTGCTGAGTAATATTCCATTGTGTATATGTGCCACATTTTTTTTTATCCATTCATCCATTGAAGGGCATCTAGGTTGGTTCCACAGTCTAGCTATTGTGAATTGTGCTGCTATAAACATTGATGTGGTTGTGTCCCTGTAGTATGATGTTTTTAGGTCTTTTGGGTATAGACCGAGAAGAGGAATAGCTGGGTCAAATGGTGGTTCCATTCCCAGCTTTCCAAGGAATCTCCATACTGCTTTCCAAATTGGCTGCACCAATTTGCAGTCCCACCAGCAGTGTATGAGTGTGCCTGTTTCCCCACATCCTCGCCAGCACTTGTTGTTGTTTGACTTCATAATGGCTGCCATTCTTACTGGAGTGAGATGGTATCTTAGAGTAGTTTTAATTTGCATTTCTCTGATTGCTAGAGATGGTGAGCATTCTTTCCGTGTATTTGTTGATTGATTGTATATCCTCTTCTGAGAAGTGTCTGTTCAGGTCACTTTGATTTGTTGATTGGGTTAATGGATCTAAATTTCACAAGATCACTTATGGAACAGAAGCAGAGGCTCTGCTTACACCAGAGCTAAATGTTCCTGTTTCTTATTCCCTCTTCCAGTTTAAAATTATGTCTTTATAAAATGTGTCACCCTGTGGATGTAAGTGGTAGTTTTCGTTTGTTCGTTTTTTGTGTATCTCTGATTACTGGTGGGTTGAATTTCTGTCTACATGTTGGCCATTTAGGCTTCTTTCTGAATTTCTTATTTTTTAATCCTTTGTCAGTTTTTGTATTGGCTTTCTGGCTCTGTTAAATTTGAGTTTGTGTCTCCTAAGACAAATTTCTGTTTGCATATAAACATCACAAATATTTTTCTCTAAGTGCCCAGAAAGTTTTAAATGTTGTTGTTGTTATTATTATTATTATTATTATTATTATTATTATTTTGAGACAGAGTCTCATTTTCTGGTTGAGGCTGGCTGCTAATACTGCTGTCAAGTAATCCTCTTGCCTCAGTCTCCTTAGTGCTGGGGCTAGAGGCATGCACCACTGTGCCCAGGTTTTATGGTTAATTTTCATAGAATTAATTACATAATTTATTTACTTTATTGTTTGTATTTTGGGAGTTCTTCTAGAAGAAGTCTTTTTTTTTAGATACTGGATACAAAATTATCTCTTATATCTGTTTTATATTTACTTTCAGGTATTGATTTTGTGTATGGCAAAATGTTATGTTCAGGTTTTATTTATGTTCTTAGTTTTATAAGAACAATCAGTGTTCCAAATACCATCTATCAAATAATCTACTATTTTGCTATAGTTTTATGGAGTCATTAAAAATCATCTTCAGTTCCCAGGTCAACATAGGTTTATTTAAATTTTATGTAATTTTGGACTGGGGGCTGAAAAAGTTCTTCACTGTGCCCTTTGAGTCAACTTCCAGTCCATGCAAGGGCAGTCATGACTCTCCTTCCATCTCCTGAATTAATCCTTAGAAACACTATCTCTTTGAGTACCTCCAGCCTCATGATTCTCCTATCCCTGGGGCATATACACAGGAAAACTTTCTTCCCCAGTCCTCAGGGGTTGAGCTCATGAATACCCAATCCAGGCACTCCAGGAACAAGTTCTTGGGTATATCCTGAAGCAACAACTCATAGGTGGCCCCTGGGAAACATTCAAGAGGAAGAAAGAAAACACCTTCCACTGTGGGCCTCTTGAGTGGCTCAACTTCCTCCAGGCAAAGGTAGTGTTCAGAATTAAGTCAGGTCTTAAAAACAATTATTTATTATTGCAATTCTAATCTTAGATAGAACTTCCTTTTAAATAAACAAATGGATATTTCCTTAACTTATATACCCCTGGTTATGTCAGAATACTTGGAGAGTATATGTCTCAGCAGTTTTATCTCATAAGCTCTTCTTTCTGGGTAGACATCATAAACTGTACCACCTGTAACTTCCTGGCTTATATGATGTCACCCTCCGTTGGTATTCCAGGTCAGAAGAGTGGGTACAGAAGCTCTGAGGTAGTCTCATTGTGAAGGTGTATACATGGTAACCATCAGAGGTGTTGAGAAATTACATGTTTTCAGGTCACAGTCTGGAAAAATCCTGACCTTGTGCATGTTTAGGTTTATAGGCAGCACAATTCAGGTTCCTATACTAGCTAGAAAATTCATTTACTTAATTGAGGCTCAGAAACCAGACCCACAGATTTGAAGAGACTAGGAAGGGTTCTTCATGACTTGTAAATTCCCTGAAAATATACAGAGACTAATATGATTTTCCTTCCCCTTTCGTCTTTTAATTGTGCCATCCACATGTGAAGTAAGAGGCTCTAAGGTGATAAATATCTCAGCATTCTCTGGTGTCTCTTGTGGAGGTGAGAAAATAACTGTGCAGGTCATTAGAGAATATAGGAATTCATTGGTTGTGTTTCAGTATCCAGAGCCATATTCACATAGAACCTCAGCATGTAGCGGCACATCCTCAGCATGGCCATTCCCACTTTGATCTCAGCCACTGGCTTCCCCAGGGCCATGTTGGTCTGGATCCTCTGGATGCAAGCTATTTCAAGATTCTGAAGACAAGTAAAAGGACCTTCCTGGCTCTTCATCTCCAAATGGCATGGGGCAGATGAAATGAAAGTTGTGTCAAACAGTAATCTCTGAATGAGGTCATAGATGTATAAGAATGTTTCAGTCAGGGATGAAGAGCATTTATAATAGTAGTACCATAAGAGTATAACACAGCTAAAAATAATTGTTACCACTCAGTGTTGCTTTCTACATTATGTATAAGTACATAGCACCTACAATTGTCTACAATATTCAGTATCATAACATGGCACAGGATAATAATCTAGGGGCAATAGGCTATTCTATATAGCCTATGAATAGTAAGCTATATTATCTAGGTTTGTGTAAGCACACTATATGATGTTCACATGACAAGGATTTCATTTAATAGCCCTTTCTTTTTTTTCTTTGCAGTACAAGGGATTGAACCCAGAACCTTGTGTATGTGAGGCAAACACTATACTGCTGAGCTACTTCCTCAGCCTTTTTTTTTAAATTTTAATTTTGAGACAGCTCTTGCTAAGTAGCCTACTCTGGCCTCCAACTTGCAATCCTCCTGCTTCAGCCTCCTGAGTAGCTGGGATTATAGGCATATACCACTGCACCTGGCCTAACCGCACTTTTAAAAGATCATATCCCTGTCTTTAAGCACCACATGACTGAAGTTTGGGTAGATGGAACATGTTTATTCTTTTCAGAATTTTTCTGCCAGGACTACCAT